ACCAGTCTATGTAACAAAAATCACATTGCTCAGCTCTGTTATTTATAGTTTACATTTTCTGGATTTTACCCTGCTTTTCGGTAGAAGTTGGGGTATTTGAGCTTAACTTCCGTTTTGTAATACTAGGGGTACGAGGAGGACCGTTCGCGGAACAATTGTAATTTCCGAAAATTTCGGCAATTTTCTCGGCTCCTTCGCTACTGACATGCACACCGCTGGGGTCATTGCTGTCATACAGTGCTCTAGTAGCAAGCCCTTGGTCATTTATGAATGTGCTGCACACGTCAATCACTGATAGTAATTTATTTTTTTCACACAATTTTTCAAGGAATTTATTCACATGCCAAGTGTTGTTGTTCATTTTTTTAATCGCGGCGCTTTTTCCTTTCCTGGGTATGACTGTGCATACTGCAATTCGAGCCTCGGGGAAAGTTTCCTGAATCTTGTTAAGACCCATCATTACATTGCCGGTTAAATCCCCGATTTCGTCTTGACATCTGGTAACATCATTTGTTCCTAAATGAACGATTACGTTTTCAGGTGTAGTTTCGTCTAATTTTTTCTTAGCGTATTCGAGTAATTGTGACACGTTTTCGTAGGATGACCCAGAGACCGAGGCGTTTAAGATATTTGGTGGAAGCTTTTGAATGCGCTTGCAGTTAGACTCCCCCAGAATTACGGTATTGATCTGATCGTCATGCGTGCCTGCTTCCGTACTGTCAGGTTCGCTTCGTTGGTCTTCGTCGTTTAAAGCCTCTCTGCCTTCATTGATATCTGCGGCATATTTACCATACTTTTGTACCATTTTTTCAGATAGTATCTCGCAGTTTTCCTTACTATGTCCCTCTTCTTTACAATATCTGCACACAGGTTCATTTTCACAGTCTTTGGCTAAATGACCTTGTTTGTTACAATTAAAGCAAATTGTTTTGTTTATGGATTTGTGTAGGCATTTGTACGAGGGGTGATCAGATTTTCCGCAATATGGACATTGCGTGCGATTATTATCCGCAAAGATTCTGACCTCGTGATCTCCGAATTTTGTTCTATTTGGTAGAGTAGGTGCACAGTTTAATATTTGCAAGTAACGTGTACCATTTTCAATCGACGTATTTTTAATAGTGCCGTGCTTGATGCTGCCTGCTACTACCTGACCATACTGCATCATATTAGTAGTTATGAAAGTGTCTGGTAGTTCAGTAGGGGCATCTTTGATTGTCACATTCGTGATTTGTTTGTCGACCTCATACAACGTAACTGTTCGATTTTTTACCGTTACACCGGACATTAATAGTTGTTCTTTTGTTTGTTCACTTTTTAGAGTTACAAAACACTCCTTTTCTGTAATCTGAATTGCTTTGATATCATCAATGTTAATCTTTTCTTTTAGCCCATCTAGTACATCTTCATGAGTTATACCCTTGTAGAATTTTGTCGAAAAGTGTATCGACAGGTTTCTTTGTACCTTCTGCATACTGAGTAGGGCTGAGTAGTGTTCAGTTAGATTTACTACTTGCTGTCGTTTTGATTTTCAAAGTTCAAAATATCACAATCTGATACTCACAGTTCGTTGTATCTAGTTGCGGCATACAAACCACAATACCAATCACACAATTTAAACAGCATACAGCGCTCCAGAATAGGAAAAATATGCAAATAAATTCAATATACTCGGAGCGACCAGAAAAGCCTGCCGTCCATGACAAGGGCCATAACTCTTCCCTTTAATCATTTTTAACTTAATCAAGTAAAAAGCTTTCATAAAGATATTTTGTCAACGTCTAGTGTATATGCATACATTTTATCTGACAAACTTTCGGGAAATTCTGTTTAGAGGTCGGAAAATTATAATGTTCTAATGATGTCATCATATTTTTAATATATTTAAGAAATATAAAAGGCATTGAAATAGGGAAGGAAAAAGTTTGTCTTATACAATATGCAGATGATACAGTTCTTTTTCTTGATGGAACAGAAAAGAGTCTTAAAAGTGCTCTGGATCTTCTTTTTCAATTTTCAAAATTTTCGGGTTTAAAACCTAACATTTCTAAGACAAAAGCAGTTTGGATTGTTTCTAAATTTGACACAGAAAATACAATTTGTACTGGTACAGGATTAAAATGGACGACCGAACCTTTTACTGTTCTTGGTATAACATATACAGCAAATTTTGATTGGAAACATGTTGATGCAAACTTTAAATTGACAACAAAATACTCAGGACTTATGTGGTTCAATTATAGAATTATCCATAGAATATTAGGTACTAATAAGAACCTATATCTGTCAAAAATCAAAAATTCACCACTTTGTTCAATATGTAACTTAGAACCAGAATCAATCAAGCATTTATTTTTCTACTGTCCACAGGTTTCTGAGATTTGGTTAGCATTGTCAGATTGGATATTTCAAAAGTCTGGTACAAGAATTGTATTTGATGTCAAAACTGTTAGTTTTGGTAATTTAGAAGAAGATAATATGGCAATTAATTTGATTATCCTACTAGTGAAGAAATACTTATTTCAACAATCAAGAAAAAACAATAATATTATTTTTAATGAAATCTTAAAATATTTAAACAATTACTATTGTTTAGAAGAAAAATTGTCAGGAAATATATTTTACAAAAATACATGGTCCAAGTGGAAATGTCTTTTTAATGTGTCTAATTGTAACTCTTAATATAATTACTGAATTGAATATGCATTGCATATTGCGTAAGTATATGTTTATGTATATTTTACGTATATTGAAGTGTATCTATCCTTATGTATGTATACTAGATGTTTATAAATGTGTGTGTATTTGTTTTTTTTTCCAACAGGTTTGAGAGTGGGAGAGAGAAGTGTATATGTCTTGCAATTACTTAAATTTAAAAAAAATATATTTTTAATATGGAACCTTCATATGAACAGCTGGTAGAAATTGTAAACTTTACTTTAGGTTTAAATCTGCTACTTTAGTCATTAGAACCTTGAGAAAACAACAGCATTTGATGAAAGTGCTCAACAATATAATAATTTACAGTTTTGTGAGGGAGCATGAAGTGAAAGGCACCATAACTTACACATTACTTAATTCGGGTATCAGAAGACTAGGGAGTGCCCCGACCAAACAGAACGTTAGTACCATTAATAGAGTTATTACTGAAACTTTACAAAAATCCCTCAGACAAACCTTACATTCATGAACAAGATACCACCTTTGGTAAATCTAGTTTTTATAAAATACTCTTTGACTTAAAATTGAATCCTTACAAGATATGTGTAATGTAGCATTTGAGAGAGACGGAAATTAGAAGTTGATTAAAGTTTACCCATTGGATTTGAAGACCCGACTCTGAAAATTTAACAGATGCATGGTTTTCCGATGAAGTCCACTTCTATTTTAACAATTTTGTTAAAGAGAATCTTAAATTTTGTTGTTTGGTGAAACTCAATTTTAATGTGGAAAAAACCTCTTAAATGTTAGAATGTTACATTTAGTGGTTGGTTTGGAAAAAAAACACTCGGAAATCGTGCTCTAACAGTGTTAATTCAAAGGGACGTTATTTGGAACATGTTATAAAATGACATGTGTAATTCTATAGAAAAAATGTTGATGATTAATAAGGAAACTGTGTCAAATGTATGCTTGACAAAAAATTATAACAATTTTATCATGTATTTTAAATTTCATCAATGTAACTTGAGTCATAAAATTTTTATAACGATTTAAAAGTGTAACATATGTTTTGGGACACCCTGTACATCGATATTAACAAGCATTCTGAGAGTATTGCATAAGCAATACATGTCCCCAAACGGATTCTCCTTTTCTCTCTAGAGTGTCATTTTATAACATCCTGTTTATGAAAAAGCGCCCATAAAATGTGGACATTCTGGTTATATACATGTACGTGTTTATGAATGAAACGTCTTGGAATTAAGTCGATCTATCTTACAAAGAGAGACATCTACGAATGTCACTATACATACATGCGTGCTTTGGTCAAAATAGCTCATTTTACATGGTCAAAAAAATTATATATGTAGGACTCGATCCAAAATGCGATGGGACTCCAAAGTCCGATGGTCACGCCAAAGTCCGATGGTCTGACACGCCAAAGTCCGATGGTGCGGAGAAACAATTAACGTTTATGACGTCATAGTACTGATAGCGCCAAACTACAAAGCCGCACCATGCCAAGGTTTTTAATTTATCATTATGCGAAAATAATCCTTATCTCTGGGATAGGTTCAAACTAACCCTTATCGGTAGAAAAGTGAGTGGGCCTAACAGTTTTATAGATATCTAGATATCTTTGGTGGGTGCGATACTAACCCTTATACAATGTAACTTGACTAGTGTGTGAGGACTATAAACCTATATCTAAGCAATTTAAAAGGACTGACCCTAATCAGTTGAGGGGTGTGGGAGGATTAATTACTCCTAATATCTCTGAAACATGTAAACAACATCCAAAATAAATAAAAGCTGATGCAAGGATAAATTCGGAAATGATGGCATTTGAATGCATGAAAAGGCGTCAAGGATAGACGTCAGATTATTGTAAGGTCATAAACGTCGATTGTTTCTCCGGACTTTGGCGTGTCAGACCATCGCACTTTAGCGCAACATGTTTCATAGGAAACAAGCCATCGGACTTTGGCGTCAGTGACGATAACAAACCATCGGAGTTTGGCGCAGACCATCGGGCTTTGGCGTCACCATCGGACCTTGAAGTCTTACATAAAAATAAAACTTGCTCTGTATATGGTTTGTCACTTAGAATAATCTGTGTCTCGGGACAAGCCCTCACCACAGTTAGAATGTCTTCCATACACTCGCTATAACAAACATTTGCAGACCGAGATTCGCTCAGAAACAATTTTTGAAGAAAAAAAGGATTTGCATAGAAAATAACTACCAAATTAATTAAAACAATTAAACATTTTCTTTGCTTGTCTGTCCATCATGCAGAAAATAAAAAAAAATATTTATTTTGAAAGCAACTGTGTTCTGGTATAAAAAGTTATGTGCAAGGTAAAAGTGCTTCATATTAATATTACCTCCTTCTCTGTAACTATTAATGTATCGATTACTGAAATTTCAAATGACTACTCCCTTTTTTTTATGTCAAATTCTTATGTTTTAATCCTTCAATCTCAAATTCTTCTCCCGTATTAATCGCTGTACGGTATAAATACGTTTGTATTCGAAAAATAAATTATATTCTATAATTCGTATAAACTGAAATTGTTCTTATAATCTTTAAAAAAAAAACTATACATATTTTTTTCCGTCTTGGTGAGTTTCCTGTTTGTCCGAAGATCTTCATTCCATATTCTGTTCATCTTCAACATTTGGATTTCTAATGTAGCCTGAATCAGCACTGTTATTTCTCGAAAACGTCGGATCAAGGTAAATGTTATCCACTGAATATAAATCAAAATATACTATACCATACTAAGAAATCATATTATATCCTAAAGGCTTATTATACTCAAAAACATTTAGTAGAACAAAAAAAACTTGAGAAAAAGATTTTTTTTTTTCAAAGTTTACAGTTTCTTTATCATAAATTTTGATGTGAATTAGTGTAGCCTAATCCTTCATTTCCTTTGGATGATTTTAAAAAATTACCTGAGCGTTGTCTGGAATTAGAATAAGAAGCACGAACGACTTTAAACAGGACCCCGCTTACAATTACTAGTGCTAAAACAGCTACTCCAAAGAGTATACCTAAAATCACTGGTACCATAGAACTGTCCTCGCTGGAAAAATTAAATATAACAAAGTCTGGAATAAAACGTAACATCTAAAATAGGTTTTTGATATTAAAGGATTTTTTAAAAGTCTTCTTTTATTAATGTGAATGAAATTATTAAAATTTCAAGCAAAAAAAAAAATAGAATTACGTAAAATATTATACCTTTTCGACAAAGGTTGATTGTCCATCTGTTCTTGACATCTTTGATCCTCTGAGGGATTGGGCCACACTGAAGGTAAGGTTCCAAAGGGATCTTTTATTATCTTCTCATAAACCGAGTATCCACCCTCTTCTAAAGTAAATCGACCTATCTACACAAACAAGTACAGTTGTATTACAATTGAAATATTTCAAATCTAACAATTTAAGGATTGATACTGAATTTTTAAAAATTATTCTGTTGCGAAATATGTTAAGATTACGAACGGTATTCGAGCTCAATAGTCCATTAAACATTACAAAATTGAAAATAGAAGCGGGTCAAACACTGACCTCCAAAACAACACAGGTGGTATCAGGTGCCATGGAGGAGTGAGCATCACCTGCCGAATGGTGACACCCGCGTCGTATGCTCCATATCATTATCGAGAGATAACGGAAAAAAAACTTGGACAACTTAGTGTGTAAATAATTGCACAACAATCAGTATGCAAAAAAACTCAGTCCGCATTTGACTTAACGATAAATTGCTTATGCTGTCAAGGACATTGTATCGACCATAGAACTTACGATATGATGACTTTAAAGCCAGACGATACGTTCCTATGTATTTTTCCTCAATGTTTTGTCACTCATTAATGCTATTTTTACAAGTTAACTTGCAAAACATTGAGGTTCATAACCAGGCATTTGTGCAAGATACCAGAGGATGATATTGCCTGTAGTATATAATCCTTTTGTACGTATATATCTTAAATGCAAATAAAAAAGTGTTAGCAATGTAAATTTTTGAAAACAATTAGAAGACAATAAGAAACCAGTGTAGAAATCACAAGGTAATGATAATTTTAATAAATATAATATATTACGAAGATTTACATAACAGATACCTGAGGAACGTATCGTGTCCTTAAACGAGACTGCTGATATTCTTGCTTCTCTAACTTTTTTTGTCAATACCTTATCTCGTTTTAGAAACTGTTCATACATAGAACATGTAAAATACACATTATTAGATTTGCATGTCGAAAACATTAAACACTATTTATTTTGACAAAATCAAACCTACTTCAACAAATATCAGTTGACTGGCATCTGAGGCCTTCCTCTGGACTTGATATATTTTGTATCCTATATTACCATCACCATTTTCATTAAAAACTTTGGATGGAATCCCGCTATCATCAATCACCATTTTTTCATTCTTTATCATGTCAAAGACCTTTTGTGGGGAAACTCGATACCTTTGACATAAAGTAGAAGACTGGCTGCCACAGAGATCAGCAAAAGATTTGTTTGTTCCTTGCAGAAGAGAAAACATGGCATTAATAGCGAAGGCGGTCCATAGTTCTGGTTGATAGTCTTTGTTGTTAAATTCTTCCTCAATATCCGTACACTGAGAAGCAGAGAGTTTGTTAAAGCTGCCGGACAGGAAACAACCGTTTCTTTCTTCAAAGTACTCTTGTGTCCAGGGATTTACATCGTTGTTAAAGTCGGCAAGCCTATGATGTAGATAATTTTCAAATTTAGATGTCCCAGTTAAAGGCTTCATTTGTAGGGACAAAGATATGGTTCCTTCTAGCTTGGATTTACCATCAATTATATCTTGTCTTAATCCAAACGCCTCAGAACCTATGAACAGATATGACCAAGGATTTATTCTTTCATGTAGTTCAGACATAACGTCGTTTACAACATGACTTCCCAAAAAAAGAAGCACAACTGTAGCATACGGAGTTTTTTGAAGATTGTCACGAATCTTTGTGTAATCATTTTCTTTAACTATTATTTCATTTGCAATACATATTTTCATATCTTTAGCTACGCGTACAATAGCGTTCCTTCCTCCCTCGCCATAGCTTCCTTCACTGTACATAATCTGTATGTACGAAGAATTGAGTGATTTCACTATGTTAATCATAGCCAGAGCTTGTTTGTCGTCAGGAGTACACGTGCGCATAAAGTATTTATAAGTAGATCTGTCACTCAACACAGCAGCAGTAGAGGCGTAACTTATTTGAGGAAGATGAAAGTCCTGAAGTATTCTTGCTGTTGCTATGCTGATGTCGCTGCTATATGCAGCAACAAATCCCAGAGTATTATTTGTAATATCTGAAATTAGAGAACCATTGGATAAATATAGCCCTTCCCTGAAAAAGTTCAGAAGTTTTGCTTGAGTTAGCAACGGTTGGTTACAGCTGTTAAAAATTATATATCCGATCTCCTTTGTGCCGAACATATTGGCAAAATTTCCAAGTTTTTCGTTCACCGTGTCTACTGCAAAACGAATGCCTTCAATAATCTCCCATCCATTAGATGTACGAATATCACCACACTTCATATGATTGTATATGTACTTGTTGTAGACAGGAACCACTGCAGCAACATACAAATCGCCTTTTTTAAAAGCAACTTCATTTGCCAAGTTACCATTTCGGCAAGATTCACATATTTTTTGAGAATCACACTGAGCCTTTATGATATCCGGCCAAACCAATCCATTTTCGCTCTTCGTATAATCTCTTAACAAGTCTGTTTTTAAATTTAACGTTGAATTGTTGTACCATCCAACCTATGAACAAATGGAAAACTTTGTTATCTTCCTGTCTTCCTGTCTCAATAGAGATTGTTCTATCTGACGTTTCCGTATAAGTATACATATCCGTATACGTATCGAGATATGAAAGGCCTCTCGATCCCGATGTCTAAACCATTTAATACAATTTCCATCTCTGTTTGTAGTTTAAGAAGCCACATTCATGCAACCATTGGAAAATAGGAAATGGCAATTTTTGAACTAAAGATACTTAACGGTTGTAAACCATTATCATTTCGTAGAGAAATATTCATTAAAAAAAAAAGAAAATGAAGTTAAGTATAAAATATTATGTTTTAATTATATTGTTTTTAAATTAATTGTAATTTTGTTTCAAAATATTTGTAGGAAATCCCTTTTCTCTCTTTCCTCTAATAATATCAGGATATTTAATCGATTTATATATAAAATTACAAGGCATAAGAGATACCCCCCCCCCCCCCCCCACGAAATACAAAATTATACGTTATCATCAATGCGATCAAGAAAACTCTGTAGCCGTTTGTAAAGAGGCTTTTCAAATTGATATCATAATTCCCTATAGGGCCGTTACAAGTACTGAGTATATACTTTGATGAGCCAGTTCAACTCCCTGCTTTTCCCCTCCCCTCAAAAAGGCGTAGGAAGCAAAGTGAAAGTGGGAAGGGGGGTAATTGAAAGCGACAAAGATTTCAGCCCTGAAAACCCTTGACAAACAAAAAAAAAAAAAAAAAAAAAACAGGAAAAATTTTTTGTTTATTGTCCAAAAGCCTAAATTACTATTTTTTTGGGGGGAGGGGGGGGGGGGGGGTCGAATTTTTATTATTACTTTATTTTTACAAACACTACTACTTACTCATCTTTGACTACGATAAAGCATGCCTGTAGAAAGTGGGGAAGCCCACCCCCCTAAGCCCTTTTAACTCCAGTTCCGACGTCTGTGTCTCACCATGCACACACAATTTCCACATTGTTCACATAGAAAATTGAAATCGTCTTTTAAATTCCATTCATTAACATCATTTATTGTTTGATATAAAAACTATTTCAGACAAAGGGCTAATTTTCTTTTCTTTTTTATTCTACTTAATTTATATATATTAGATATATAATTTTGCCTGCGATCGAGATTAGTGTGCACAAATTATTAATGGAAGAGAAAGAACTGCTTCAATGTAGCCAAAAAAATAACACAATTAAAAAAAGTACATTGTTAAAATATCAGAATTTAGTCCAGTCAAACTGTCATAATCCTCAAACAAATTGCAACAGATTTTTTTTCTTTATTTATAATTAGTAAATTGTATTCTAATTAACATATAAAAACTCTAGAAAAATATTTAAAGGCGAAAGATGTCTTTTTTAGAAATAAATATTTACTAGTTTGAAAAAATATGTATTGCAGAAATGTGTTACCATATGCAACAGGGGAGACAATTTTTACCACTGTAAACAAACCTCCTTTCATTTTAAACAAGCATAATAAAATTAATAATTCATTTTGTAAACATTTCAGGATTTATTTTTCACCTATTTATTGAAGATGTAAGATTTGAGAATTTTATATATGTCTAAATGTAGTGTTAACTTCTCCTTTACTAGATGTTTGAAACATTAGGGGAAATAATCTATGGAGAGTCGTCAGTGGTTTTATTACAACATAAAAATATTTTATCTAAAAGTTAAACTTTTGTTGTTTGACTTTGTTTAAAGATCATTTTCTTCTTTAGAATATTGATTCTATTAGTGAGATCTACTTTACTAGTAAAAAATACATGTAATATAGATTAGAACATCTTTAAAAAAAATGTTTGGTTTGCCTCTCCCGACCGACTGACTAAAATGGCCAATCTCAAAACTTTTTTTTTACATTCCAGGACATGAAATTTTTTTTATATCTCTTATCTCATCAACCAATTAGTTGAATTTTTCTGGGAAAAGGATTTTACAAATGATTTTACCCTGAGTCTGGAGAAGCATTATTTGTTTATTAAATTGTTTATTTGCATTAAACAAGCATTATTTTAAAGATGGCCTTATTCTTGACCTCTGTGTGTGTACATGTATTTAGTATTGCAATGGTGCTCATTATATAAAGTTTATTTTACTGTATTTGTAATTTGTAAACATATTGCTGAAACATTATGAATCACGTTGATTCACATTTGGCTTCTGGTTATTTCTGAACATAACCCTGGAGCCAAGTAGGGTCACACAAGAGATTCAATTTTATGGGAAGTCTTTGAAATAGGCCGCATTGTAAGATTTTCATATATTTTTAAAAATCATATCCTATTATGCAATAGATTCGTGCATTTCAGCTTTTTAAAAACTACACAATATTTTTCGACTTATCCAAATTACAGCAGACTGAGGGATCTTTGTTTATAGGTCTTATCCAAAGGGCCCAACAGATTGGTTGATAGTTTGTTTTTTTTTACGCCCCGCTCGAGAACTTTTTACTTAAAATAAGAATTATTTAAATACACATGCATATAAAGGAAACGTTATTAAAAATACTATTTTCCTATCAAAATAAGTAGAATTAATAATCTAAAACTGCATAGAAAATTTTAATTGTAACTAGTTCTAATTGTAACGGGGACCGTTACAGATGTTCCCCAAACGCTCCCCAACTCCCTTTTTTGCAAATTTCCTTTAAAACTTTTTTCAATATGCTTAGTATCGCAGGATTTCATAAAAGAATTTTAAAAGCTACGATGAAATCACTTTTTTTGTCATTTAACGCATTGTTCGCAAACGCACGTGCATGCACATGCATGGTGATCATGACATGTTGTCTAAACCATTAACATATCTTTATATTCCAGAAATCAATAAAAAGTCATAAAAATATAAATTTTACCGTTTTTCAAACACATTGTTCATTTTACGCATTGCGTGTGCGCATGTGCATGCAAGCAGGTCCTTGCATTCAATTTTGATAGCAATATCATGTAGGAATCCATAATACCTATTCATATTCTAAACTTCATCCTGTTTTGTTGGGAAACAAGAAACATATAGGCATGTAAAGTTTCAGCCAATCAGATTGCAGCACACGTGGATTTATGTGCTTTCATGATAATTCTTATATATCATGCGGTAGATCTTCATAATATGTGACTTTAGTTCAAAATTTCAAAGGATTATGACGTAAAACAAGAAAGATATTGAGACTTTAGTTTCAGCCAATCAGCACGTGCATGCGCGTAAGATCTTGCAATTTTGACCATGTCATCTTGTCCATACTACTACTATATTCATGCATTGTGAGTTTCAAAAAATTAAATCAAGAAATAGAAAAGTTACGGCTTCATCCATTATCTTGTGTAATTTTACATGTTGCACGTGCGCGCTCTTGCCAGCACACGCGCATGTACGTGCTTTCATGAAAATTATTATATATCATGCTGTAGATCTTCATATTGTGTGACTAAGTTCAAAATTTCAAAGGATTATGACGAAAAACAAGAAAGATATTGAGACTTTAGTTTCAGCCAATCAGAGCGAAGCGCACGTGCATGCGCGTGAGATCTTGCTATTTTGACCATGTCAACACGTCTATACTACTAATATATACTTATATAATGAGTATCAAAGCATATAATCAAAAAATAGAAAAGTTACGGCTGTATCTATTATTTTGGTCATTTCACGCGTTGCACGTGCGCGCTCTTGCAAGCACGTGCGCGCAAAATGACCTTCGTTCCGCAAATCTACATAACATGCCTACTGACCCTAAAAAGGTTTCACCTAAGTCGGACGTGTAGTTTACAAGATCATTCGCGGAAAAGATTTTCCCAGGAAGAAGAAAAATAATAATAATAAGAAGAAGAAGAAACAGAGTAAAAACAATATGTTCCCCAACTTCGTTTGGGGAACATAATAAGAAAGACTTTATGCCATAGATACATAGTGCTAGTTTGTTTGATTGTTGTTTGACATCCCTCTTGAAAATTTGTCACTACTGTGGAGATGCCACAATGCACTTGCAAGTGGAGAGCTGCAAATTTTGTCCTTTACTCGGACCTCGGTTTATAGGTCTAGGTCTCATCCAAAGGACCCAGATTGGTTGACTGTGTGTTGTTTTACGCCTATCTTGAGAATTATTTACTTAAATAAAAACTTTACCATATACTTAAGGGCTTCAAATTTAGGGCCATTGAGAAGTGAGGGTTCTTTATCATGCCAACGACTACATGTAACATGAAACGCTCTCATCCCGAAGACCTGCAACGTTTACTTCAAAGTGCCAAGAGCTTAATTAGTAAAGTGATATCCCCCACCACACACACAATTACAAAATAAATCCAAAAGAATATAAAAACTAGCAATGCACATTATATTGAATACAGTGAGAAGCAATTCGGATACTATATTTAGGTTAACATTTAGGAGAGGAACAAGTTCCAGGTTCAAGATAATCATTTATGCATTTTTAGGGATTCCATGGCATCTTCAGTGGATTTTATATTTTTTTTTCTTTTATATCTTTAACGTTTCAAATAAAAACAATGGGGGATCTGTTCAAGTTTTACTTAACTATAGATATAGCATATTTCGAATGAATTTCCCATGCATACGCATTGCTATAAAGGTAGATATGTCGGGGAGAGCCCCCTCCCTCTGAAAGAGCCATAGCTGCCTTACCGAAGATTCGGCCTACTCAAGTATTTAAAAGGAAATCACCTGTTTCTATTTATAGATACATGTACCTTTTCAATGCAAAATCAAACTACATGTATGTAATCATTAGTGAACCAGTGTTATATTTTCATAGTTGCCAGTTTGTTGCATGACAGTAATTTTACTTGTCCAATATTCTTATTCTAAACAAGATTGTTTGAAAATTTTAGAAATAAAACAGGCTAACAGATATGACTTTGGGTCATTAAAATAGTTTTAGACTGTTTTTTCCCGAGATATACTTTCATTGTGTAATGGTGCAATATATATCTCTTTTAAAAATTATTCATACATGTATGTATTATAAAATAATAAAAAAAAACATAGGAAAATGCACACAGAGAAAAAAAAAATAAAATCGTATTTAAGTAATATGCACTGTGAGACTCGAACTCACGACCATTATGTCTTCAATCCAGCAATCATACCACTTCGCCACTAAGACTTGATAAGTAAGTGGATAAAATAAAGACAGATTGTTGAATTTGGAAATAATTTTAGAAGAAAAAATAAATACATATTTTCAACATTTTCAATATGAAGACCACCTTTAACCAAAATTATCTAAACGTAATGAAGTGCAGTCATATCCAAATAAAATTATTCAGAAGTTGTTTTTCTGGTTAAAGGTGGTCTTTTCCTACAGTTTGTCATTGTTTAGGGGGGTACCTCAGTATTTACTATATTCTCCATAGAAACTGAACGATTTTTATAACTATCATAAGAGGAAAGTATTAATAATTGATTATTATTTTTGTGTGAGTTGCTTTAAGGCATGTATAAACTAACACTGTATGACAAAATTTTGGTTAAACAAAGTATTTAAAAAATCACTACTAGAATAGGCGAAAGTGACTATCAAATGCGCTATGGCTCTTTTTACAGTTAAAAGGTTCTTCCGGTATGTAATGTCCATGAACCTATTCCCCAGGACTCATTAAAATGTCAAGTCATATACCTAATAAAAATAGACCACCCCATCCCCTGAAATAGGTTTTGAAGTTTGAGGTATTTTTATATATGGATGAGTATCGCCAAAGATTTCGTATCACGATATATCACGATTTTTTTTCCAAATTGAAAATATCACAATAATATCATGCTATTTTTACAAGCAATTTTTAAAATGATTTTAGGTGACATTATTTTTCTTAAAAATATGCTAGAAAAACAAATTTTCACTTTTTTGAAATGTTTATCTACATAAATTTGGTCATGTTTGGATGGTAAGGTGTCTTTCTTTTCACCTTTTACAATTTTTCTTAAGGCTTTCCTTAATTTTTATTTGAAAAGATGAATAAATAAATGAATAATTTCTGGACTTTATGATATATATCTAAATACCGGTATTTAGGTCTCCGCATTACAATACCTATCCCCCCCCCCCCCCAAAAAAACTGCGATATACCGGTATATTGATAAAATCGCATATCCCTTGTAGTAAATTTATTTTAATTATTTATTTTGAATTCTTAATACTTGTTTGTTTATTAATTTTTGCTTGTCAAAAAATTATGAGACTTAACATCTGTGAGATTTGATCCCCCCCCCCTGAAAAAAAATCTTGGATATCTGTGCTTACATTATCCCCTATAACTTTTTAAAAATTATCTTAGGTCCTCAATAATAAATTAAAACTATACTAATTCCAACCTACTAGTACTATAGCTACATATTTTTGTCCCTGCACAAAGCCGTACTAAGGAATTGGAAAGGTTTTATTTTTCTATTATTTCTGTTGCCATGGGAACGGGAATCCATAGCAACTAATGAAATAATCACCGATTTCAGTTTGCAGATGCATTTCTGCATGACTGTCAAAAAATTTCAAGATCATATATCTGGCAAAACTATTTTTATGCATAAATAGAATGTCTATTCAAAAAGAAGATTTGTTGGCATTTTTGAACAAATATAGGGTTTTTTGATAATAGAAAAAAAAATGATGCTTGGACAAATTTATTTTTCTAGAGTTTTGATATATCAAAGGCACATTATAAATAACAAAATTCCACTGGAATAATTTCTGTTGCAATTTGTTTGAAGTTTGGGGTTAAGCGAGGAATATACATTATAATCTAACAATTACTAGTATTTTTCTCTCCCTTTATCAACAAGTGTTAAATCAAACGAGTCAAACAAATAACTGCGTTTAATCGCAACACTTTCGGATATTGAAGTCAATTCTCAAGCTTCTTGAAACCCTGGTGGATACGGATATAGACTTACAATTTAGGGAGTGTATTCAAACCGCCCCAGAGATCCCAGCTATCCATTTTTTTCTGGAGAACTATGACCATCAAATACGTGAAAATGAATGGCAAAGAAGATGATAAAAAAGAAAATAAGGAAGGAAATTTTCAGTGCATCTCCCATACACATTTGTTATGCACTATGGTTAAATTTTTCCAGTTAATATACAACTATTTAAAATGCACATGTACAAGTTTGAGATTAAGGTTTCGTCAAAGGTCAACATATCCAAAAAATTATTTTTACAATAGCCCCAAAACTATGTGAGGTATAAAGTTAAAATTTTTACAGTTTATAAATATTTCACTGATAAACATGCAGATAGAAAGTATCACTTGATAAAAAAAATACGTGGAAAAAATATTAATTGAGGAAAAATTCTTCTTAAAAATGCATATATTTTCAAAAAATACACCTCATTAATTCAGAGATCTTAGTGAAAACCATTATTGCAGAAACAAAATATGTTTATCAATGAAGGGCAAGTTGGTCTTGGTTAGCCTCTGGAAAGTTCTTTTCCCTGTTAATTTTGTCCAAATGTTAAGACTTGAAAGTGAAAGTACAATGCAAATGGCGGATTTGATAGGGGTCTTGTCTTTATACTTGACATGCTTTCAATAACAGCCTTTCAGAGACCATTCACGTCCAACTTGCCCTTCAATGATAAACACATATTATTTCTGCAATGATGGTTTTAACAAAAAAAGACAGAATAAAGCAGGTGCAATTTGCTTAAAATATGCACATTTCCTAAAACAATTTTTCTCAAAAAAAATCTTTTTAAAAATATTTGTCATCAAGTGATACTTTCTATCTATTAATCAATGATATATTTATAAACTGTAAACGTTTTAACTTTATACCACACATAGTTTTGGAGCTATTGTAAAAATAATTTTTTTAGACATGTTGACCTTTGACGAAACCTTAAGAGGTTTAACTGTAAATATATTATTGGAGTTTTATGAAGAGACTTACTTTCACATTCAACGGCTGACTTTTACATTTTATAAATGGAGCAAGTCACTGTTTCAACTGTAAAAGTCAGTCGTCGATTGTAAAAGTAAGTCTCTTCATAAAACTCCATTACGGATATGTCTTGTTCTTGAAAAGGTTAATTCGAGAATGAACAATGAATACCCTAATATTGAGAGTGAGAGAGAGATAGAGAGAGAGAGGGGGGGTGAATCTAAAAATTATTTTCGGACAATTTTTTACACATTTAAATGAAAAAATCATACTTGCATGTTTTTCTAATGTAATTTTTTAAACTTTTACACCCCCACCTCCTCCCCGCAAAAAAAAAGATGTATAAGGTGTGTACAGCAACCTGATATGTTTTTCATAAAGAAATATCACACTACATCTCATTTTTTAGTGAATGAGGTTAGAAACCAAACATGAAACGAAGGAAATGTAACAAGATGGTTTATACATCGGGATCGAGATGCCTAGCATACTTTGATACGTATACGGATACTTATACGGATACGTCAGATAGAACAATCTCTAACAAAAACATTAAATGTTTATCAATATTTATCTGTGGTTTAGTTTAAATCATTTAAATGCAAAGACATCACACTTATAAGAAAACTATTCAGCTGAAGTATCTTTGCTTGCTTATTTAAATACTTGAACAAATGTATCTGATTCAAGTGGGAAAATGCTTTTTATACATTCTTAACTATACGTACCCTCTCTAAACACGTTTCTCGGCCTTTGACAATGCAATTTCGGAAATGATAAACTTCATATTCATTCAAATCTCCTCTTATATTAGCTTCAGTTCGTCCATTAAAAGTTATTTCTAGGTTTTGTCGTAAACCATCAGGCATTTCTTCCTGAAGACTTATACTTGTATTTTTACCTCTTTCTACAAGTTTGTAAATATTGTTCCACAACGTACTATTCAGATTGCTGCACAAACCCTCTGTTTCTCCACATTCCTCTCTTTGGAGGTCTTTGAGAAATTTGGCTTGCATGATAGTGGACAAAATTGCATAACCTTCAAACACATTATCACCAGTGACAGAATCTACGTCAGCTAACGTTGGCATCAAGCAGGTAGGGTTCTGAATATCACAAGATATAAACTTCTCGACAACCTTCCCTAACCACGGATTACCTGACATTTCCTGACTGAAAATAGTTTTATTAGTCAAAATATTCGACCAATGCAATTTGAAACTCTCAAAAGTCAACCATGGAGGACTAGTGAAAAAAGAACCTTTTGCTACACGATACTGGTTTAAAGTCACTTTGTCTATAGTAGAGGATCCTTCAGAAAAGATGATTCCAAGTTGAAAATTGTACTGATCTTTGAGTTTGTTGGCAACATTGAGAAACACTGTGGCAGTTTTGGTTGACGCAAATACAACTACTCCTGTTATTCTACTTTCAGCATTAAAAATCATGGACTCTAAAACTGATTGTAGGTCTCTGGAATTCAGCAGACCATTTTCTATAGATACTGCTGAAGCGTATGCAATGCATATCTTTCTTGACTGAGTCTGAAATTTAAAATCTTCATAGTTGCCACGCCCGTATGTATTGTTTTCGTAAACTACACCAATGTAGTTCCATTGAAGTTTTTGCAATAGAGATGTGGTGACCTAAAATGAAATAGTAGGGACATGTTTTGATTAGATTTTACCATTTTCTCTAAATGAATTTGATGAATATAAAGATATTATTGAATTCTGATTTTTTTTTCAACGTAATTTATTAATAAAATGTACTTACAGATATTTGTTTTGTATCATCAGGAACGAGTCTGACAATATTTTGATATTTATTTCGATCTCTCAGTGATGAGGAAGTAGCGGAGAAAAGTGTTTGTATGAGCATGTTGTTGTTTTCCAATGAGCTTATGTATAACGAAGTGTCTTTAGCTTCTCCACTGTACTCTGGACCGATTATTCCTTTATAAGTACATCATTAACATGATTAGTCTAGATGATTAATTGGATATCATTCATTAACAGCTAGATTTACACAGGTGTTAAATATTGCTCTAGTATGCTTACACAAATTAAGATTAAACAAATCTTTTACAAGCAAAATATTGCATCAGTGAAAGCTGCCTTCAATTGTTCATTATTCATAACTTTATATGCACAATTGCATCCAAATTAAGGAAAATTTACCACACAATTTATTACTGTTTACATAGGAGTTCCTGATTAAATATAACTCTATAACGTGTACCCATGATTGGCACTAAATTTTGATTGATTTGATCCTGAAGTTTTCTGTTGACTATTTTACTGGTGTATTCTACAGCTCTCCCCTTGATATTGCATGTTGGAAAGGCTTCTATACCTACACATTAGGGAAAAGATTTTATGTCTCAGTTATTTCTGATTATTAATTTAATACTTAAAAGTAATATTAAGAAACTGGAATTTTTCTTGTATCATTTTTTTACATCCTCCTTAAAACATCATTAAAAAAGTTCATGATATTATGTAACTTGAGCTTACCAAGTTTTATTCCTGGAATATAATTATCCTGATTTAACATGTTAAGTGTCCATTTCACAGCCTCAAAGTTTCGAACAGACATTGTTTGTATTTCATTCTTACATTCCCCATCACTAAATATTTGGAACAACCCTCCAAGATGGACATCTCCTTGAAGCATTGCAGTTCCATGAGATTGCGATATCCTCAAGATGAGAAACGCAAATATAAGGAGTCCGTTCATGTCTGAAATATTTTTTTTTTCATATAAAAGTGTTAGACCACTAAATATTTAACATGAAGTTGTCTTCTAAAATTTTCGTTTGCACCACCATGAGAAGGAGCTGAAAGAGGAAACTTGCTTCTCGATGGCACCTGATCCAATTATTGTTATTTTAAGAGGTTTGTGTTTGCTCTGCCCAATGTGTATGGTTTTGATGGATTTTTATTTGTTTCATACTCAATTTCTTCATATGAAACATGGATGTAAAATTTAAAAATTAGTTCTGACGTAAACAGCAGTGACTAGGTGTAGCAAAAGCAAAACCCAATATACAAGTAAAGATGAATCATCCCTGAAAGTTTCATGGCTCTATTTTTGGCCCGTTCTTAAAAAGCGCACATGAAAATCCTTATTCTGATAAAAGAATATCGGATATTTTTGTATGGCAACCCCTTTTACCATTTATTCGTGAAATAAAAATTTTCTCTCAATAAGAGAAATATCTCTTTAACTTATAGAGATATCTCTTTGACTAATAGGGATATCTTTATACCTAAGAGAGATATTTCTTTAAACAAAAGAGATATCTCTTTTTGTAAGAGAGATATCTCTTTTACTTAAAGAGATATCTTAATGAGCCAGAGAGATATCTCTTTCAGTGAAAGAGATATCTCTTAAAGTTTGAGAGATATCTCTTTAACAAGGTTAAAAGAGATATCTTTCTTAGTTAGAGAGATATCTCTTTAGTTTTTCAAAGAGAGATATCTTTCTATGCTAAAGAGATATCTCTTTTAATGAAAGAGATATTTCTTTTCCAGTCATACTTAAAATAAAATAATTACACCCCCTCCTTTAAAACGAAAGTGAAACAGGAAGTAAAGTCTCTGGAATAATTTCGCTTTTATAAGAGCATGCAAAATTCAGAATAATATATGTACTATGTAGAAAAAAAATGCCATAAATTCCTTGCTGAAACAACAAATAATAATGCCAACTTCGTTCATAAAAATACTAAAAGTTTGATATTCAGGAAAACGAAAGTAAGCTTAAAATCTTAAATACACCGAATTTTCTCAGCTTATGAAATAATCAACTATATAATAATTTTTTTTTTTTTTGGAATCTAGACAACAATGAATTACTTCTCATGTTTAGTAAAGCTATAATCTAAAATATCATCAATATATAGAAATTTAAAAATACTTTAATGTACTGAATAAAAAGTTTACTTCCTGTAAAGGGAGAAGTCATTTCAAATGGAATTTAAATAAAAATAATGAAGAGAGATATCTCTTTACAATAAAGATATATCTTTTTTTGCTTGAGCGATAACTCTTTTAGACGCGTTTAAAAGATATCTCCTTTCACTTTGAGAGATATCTCTTCAGATAAACTAAGAGAGATATCTCTTTTTACTCTAAGAGATATGTCTTTAACTTGGAAAGATATCTCCAAAAGTAAAAGAGATATCTCTCTAGGTGAAAGAGATATCTCTTTAACGTTCAGATATATCTCTTTTCATGAAAGAGATATTTCTGAAGGAGGAAGAGATATCTCTCTTAGTGTAAGAGATATCTCTATAGGTATAAGAGATATATCTCTAAGTTTAAGAGATATCTCTTTCTCATAGAGATATCTCTTAAAAATGAGAGATATCTCTCTACATTGGGAGATATCTCTATTTTTTGAGATATAGCTCTCTAAAATGAGAGATATCTCTAGATCTGTAACTTTCAGATAAATTTTATTTTTCGAATAAATAGCAAAAGGGCTTGCCATAAAGTGGCAAAGTTTGTTTTTTATCAGTTAAAAAATTATCTTTTGGATGAATGTTTTTCAATAGGTGTAATGTAAATAATTGTTAAGTTAAAAAAATATTGAAAAAGTATAATGTCTTAATTAATCAATTATTCAATCTTTAAAAAGGTTTCCTAAGACAATACTTCCCCCTGTATTCCAGCATTTTCTTTATTGTACATATTATGTAAAATTCTTTACCTGATATTCACAAGTCTAGTATTTTATAAATTAGCATTAGTTTGGAACTTTTAGAAACAGCTAGAATTATGCATATTTTTTAGCAGTTTGTACCTGCTACCTACCCTTTATAATTCTGTTCACTAAAAATGAACAATTTTTTATGCTGAGATGTTCAGTGAAAATATAACTGCAGTTTTTCTAATTCGAATCCATAAATCTCTGAGGATTGAAATACTTCAAAAAACCAAAAGAAATATGTTGCTATATTTTACAGAGAATGAAATATTCAATTTTGTTAAGTTCATAGAAAAACGAAACCTAGTCCTGTGTGTATTAAATAGCAGCCGTAATCAAAAATCAGTATAGATATTTTTAAATGCCATGAACAGCTGATGAACAAGTTTGAGGAATTTAAATGCAAAGGAATGTATGAATAACAAAATAAAAATAATAAACAGTGAACAGGAACGAAATAAAACTTCTAAGGAAACCAAATACTATTCAGTTTTAGTTTTTCATATGATTTTAATTAATAGCAATGTTCTATATCTTTCGTATGAATTTATTTTTATTGTTTTTTTAATGTGGATAAAAAAGCAAACTTGATGATAATCCGCTTCGCGTATTATAAAGCGTAAACTGGTCCAAACCAGGTTAAACTCGAATAATTTGAGTCGTTCTTAAAATATTTTCATATTTTAGTATAACTAGGTTTACACATTGGAAAAGATCTAGAAATATTAGAAAGGCTGAGATTTCATTTTATTACGTGCTGCTTGCTGACCTATTCTCCTTTTTTTTCGTTCGGAATGATGTAGTTTGCGGAATTTTTAAAATTCACTTAAGACTACCTTTTTTTGGTTCAGTTTTCTAAGTTGTGTAATATCTAATTATCACTATCCCTTTTACATCACTACATATACTTCCTATATGATCTTTTCCCTTTATCTATTCTCGAAATGCAGTTATGTTGATAAAATTAAAACGAATATCCTCATAAGCGACATAGCGGGTACAGTATTAGCCTGACTGATATGTATCTGAAATGAAAAAGCTTTCCATATCTTTATAAAATAAACTTAAGAAAAACTTGTCTTCAGAGAATTGTTTTTTATTTTATAAATATGGGAAGGTGGTATGCGATAATCATATGAATGATATGCATGGTTCAAATCAGGAAGTGATGAAGTTAACAAAAGACTTCCTGGGATACTCTGCTTATAATTCAGAAGGAATCTTCTATTCCTTACAAATAGAGGACAGCTTTAAATTTGAAATACAACTTACTTAAAACACGTTGGCTAAAACTTACTTATCATAGTTTTGTACCTAATCTAGACCTACCTTTTTTCCTCTCCGATTAAAGACGTTTGTTGAATGTTTAAATTTGTGACCCCGTCTCCTTGGTTAAGTGAACCCTCAATATATACGTGTAATATTCTCTCTATTGTTAGTGGTTAAATAAAATGCAAATAAAAAAGAAGTGGGAGCTCAGATTTCGTGAAAATTTAAAAAAAAAAAATAAGCATTTCTTGACGATAAGTAGGGGAAAAACCAGAGTTCTGGGACAGTAGCCTCCCATAGAGTTAACATGGAGTAGCCTCCGATAGCCTCCCAAGGTGTGAGGCTACCTATGACGTCATACAAATGTCTAATTTACTCATTAATTGATTATGTATCATTATTTTTTTATATTTAGAAACCAATCATAAAAGTGAATAATTAAAAATGATTGATTGATTGTTTGATTGATTAAGGAGTATGTGTTACAAAATTCGTTAGTTTACAATGATGTGCGGATGTTCGCTAGTTTCTGTCACTTTTTTCAATATATCTTGCAATTGGTTAGGAAGTTTTGATTACAACAAAAATAAAAATGCGATGATTAAGGGCTAAATTAAAGCTAGTTCAACTGCTTTTATGTTGCAGTTTTTTTTTAAATCCATGATACCAATTATAAATTGTGATGAAGAATTGATAACTACTTAACTGAGGTATTACATATTTTGAGGAAATATGCATATAGGAATTTTTTTCACTTAGAACATCGGATCTCAATTATGTACTCAAGACTTTACATGTTATGATCCCAAACATTACATGCACAGTCCATGTATCATTCTTTATCATAAAAAAGAACATACGACTGTACATATTTTATTATCTCCGTTACAATAATGAAGCTTGGGTCGGAGAGCCATCCCAAGTCCACTTTACAATGCCCTACACCCTAACATATAATATACAAGTAAAATACTTAAACTATCCATGTAAGAGTCATTTACCATCCACCACACCATACACTAGACAAAATTGCTAACGCACCTCTTGTTCATTTTTATTTGTGAATTGAACATTTGCCAAATCGGTCCTAGTGTATATAATATGCCATTATTTCAAAAGCAGTGGGATTGACAAATGTCTTGGCATCATGAAAAAACCCTTGAATGACCTTCTTGTCCGAAAACCAATTTCCAGCTGTGCACTGCGCACCATTTTGACACAGAAATGAAATTCTTGATCACTAAAGGGGTCTGTGAGATTGCCACAGGAGTAATTCCCCCAGTAAAAAATCAAATAACTAACGGTCCACTTTCACACCTTATGTCTACTTCCGGTTGACCAAGTTTTGTGGAACACAACTTATTGTATGCTGTATGTATATAACGTTTTTATGTTTGTTAATCTATTGGAACAATTTTTCATGTAAAATATTTTTAATTGTTTTATTTTTTACTTTTTCTAAAGGAACCCCCTTTGTGTGCTTTTGCACGCTTTTACGGTGTAGAGTTTTAAATTAGCACAAATGGAAAGAACACAAATACAAAGAAAAAATTGAATTTTTTTTTCAAAAATGGAATAGACACGATTTTATCTTTTTCTATGAATTGGTCACACTTCAATAAACATTGTAGTTATTATTTATATGGTTTGACAGTAATATGCCTTATTTTTTGTTAAAGTAAAATATTTATATATCAAATGCATCATAAACAGGTTTTTAAAAGTAAAAAATTAATTCTCTTAAGTGGTGCGTTAGCAATTTTGCCCAGTGTACTTCAAACGATCTGTGTGTATGTACGTTCTTTTCGATGTGATAGACTCCAAAGTTTGATCTTTTCTGGGTAGTACACTCTTCTATTTACAACTCAGATATATCAAAAGCATTCACCCAAGAATTAAATTTCTTTGGATAATGAAGCCATTTTACAAAATATTGTTTTTGTCTACCCTTTCCTCTTGTTTTTAAGACCTTTTCTACCTTCCAGAGGTCGTCCTCTTTTATGTCTACTTTTTGAAGTTCTGATTGATAGAAAGTTCCTCTGATTTCTTCTTCATCAAAATCCTTTACTCTGTAAACCGGTAAACCACCACGTAAAATTCTTTGTGAAATTATGAATATTTCCCCTGTCCACTTTTCATCGTATTCACGGAAGAATGGATTCCTGAGATGGGTGAGTCTAACATTATCACCAATTTTAAATTTGAAAGGCTTTCTTATTGTTTTTGATTTTTTAATGACCGTATTATCTTTTGGCCAATACATTCTCCACCATACAGCTGTTTCATTTTTACTGTTGACACTCTTAGGCGCCATGCCAATCGTTCTGTGATATGAGTTATTGTAGCTTTTGACAAATGTTTGAAGTTTATCTATGTATTCATACGATTGTTGGTAAGTCATGAATCGATAAATCCTCGTTTTAACAGTTTTGATGACACGCTCAGCAACTGCAGCTTTGGTTTCATTCTGAGCATAGAGGTGTGTTCCGTCATAACCGTTGAAGACTTTTTGAACTTCCTTGGATCGAAATTCTTGTCCTTTATCTGTTCGTATTCTTTTTGGCACTCTTCCTTCTAGAAAAATTTCCCACAATGCATGGGCAACGGAAATTCCTTTTTTGTCTTTCAAAGGACGCATCCAAACATACTTTGAAAGAACATCAATAACAACCAAAATATACATGTATCCATCATTATACTTGGCAAACTTTACCATATCCGTGAGATCAGCAGACCATTGGTCATCTATGCCGGTTACCATAATTTTGTTTCTTCGAAATTGTCTTCGTAGTGGTCTTTGTAAACTGTAAGCCTCTTGGTTTTTAACCATTTCCTTATTTTATATTTGCTTATCAGATATTTACCATCTTTCCTAACATATCAGAATAATTTGTCAGGTCCGGAAAAACTACCAGCATTACTTGGATTGTAATAAATTTCATGTAAATAATCCTCCCACGACATGTTTCCTTTTCAATGTACAGCAGAAAAATGAACGCATAACAATATATCATCTATATTTATCAAGGAAATTTTCATTCATCATTTTCACCCCCTTCTGAGTCTTCCTCTGATTCACCTTCGTTATCGCACTCATCATTATCGTCTTCATTATCTGTTTCCTCGTCATCTGTTTCCAACATCATTTCTTCAAGTAAATGTTTGTATTTCCTTAGAGTCATGCGAACTGCTGGTAAATTTGCATAACCCTTTTTGAGGAACTTTTCAATACTTTTCATGACTTTCTCGTGGATCTTTCCATCTTTTAAATCCAAAAAGTCTAAGATTGAATGACCATATAAATTTGAAAACGTGATGAAATCAGTTTCTTTCATTTTGTTATCCGCTTTTTTCTTCAGCATTCTTTTTGGATAATCCGCTGTTTTTGTATTTTTCGACTTTTTCAGACCAAACCTCCTCGTTTTTAGCTTTGGATCTTTTTCGTATTCTTTTAAAATAGTCTTCTTCTGCTGATGTGACAGAAGACCCCCCCCCCCCTCAGATTCAATCTCCAATTCATCTGACTGAAGTATACGAGGCCTCTTTCTATTTGTTTCCACGTCATCATCCAGTTGTAATTTTCATTCACGGTTATGATTCTCTGGACACCATCTCTTAACATGTCTTTGAAGGTCATGAGTACTCTCGAAAACGAGACCACAATCGTCACAAGAAGCCATGATAGATTTCAAATATGAAGGAAATTCGGTGTCAATAGACAGACTGTTTTCTTCTTCAGAGTTACTTAGATGCGTCCTTTCTTCTCCAAAAGATTTTTGCGAATGACTTGTCATCTCAAGTTCGTGTTCTTTTATAGATGTGTTGGTGAATACATCACTGCGCATGCGCATTGATTCGGGTGTTGTTGGCTTTAAATCAATCAATAAATATCCGTAAGGTTTTTCTGTGGCTTCTTTAAAATGTCTCATCAAATGCTGAGAGTTTCCTGGATACATTTGTCGAGCAAGTTCATAACTTGTTGTTTATCAATTGGGTTATTAAACAGAATAATGTAATGACAATTACGTCTTTGAGTCGGAACCTTGTTGTAAAACAAATTCTGGTTAATGGCAATGATTGATAAATTCCTATGATGACTTCCCTCCATAAACAATTCATTGATTCGGGGATCTTTAGAGGTACTTGACATCATATCATCTAAAATCAGCATATTTCTTGTTTGAGGATTTAAAAAAGAATCTTCTTCTAAATCTATTGGTATTCCTTTGATGAATTCCACGCTGGGGGAAACCGTGTTCTTTATGACATCATACAAAGGTTGCCACCGTTTATAAAGCCAAATTATGCGCTCTGGTGGGGGATCAATTTTGGTTAAACAGTTCTGTAACAGTAATTTGACAAAATACGTTTTTCCACATGAGGTTGGTCCCGATATGTTTGCAGTAAATGGATGCTTGAATTGAAAAATCTGCTGCGGTATCTGATGGGGAGATACAGTGGATTCTTCTCGGTGTTGCTGCTGAGGAAATAAAGTGGACTCCTGCTCTTGCTGCTGAGGAAATCAACTGGATTGCTGCTGCTGCTGCTGCTGCTGCTGGGGAAATAAAGTGGATTCCTGCTGCTGCTGCTGCTGCTGCTGCTGGGGAAATGAAGTGAATTCCTGCTGTTGCTTGAGGAAATGAGACTCTTGGTTTTGATTTTTAAAAGTTTCGTATAACTCTTGTTGCTGCTGATTTGCGGAATGTTTTTGTTTCATGTGACGCTGTAAATCATGAGGCCAGACGTAAGATCGCAGGCAATGTTTACACTGATTCATGATGATTGATGTTCACTCCTTGGCGGTAAAAAGTAAACTGGCTTGAATTCTTCACTCAACACTTTATATAGCCATCGCTGTTGCATCATGGGATATCCTCCAATGACCATGGACTAATGTATGTATCCCATCTTTTAATATATACCGCTTGTCATCATAAGGGGAAAGGGTTGTCTTGTTTAATGCTATGGTGTGTATCTGATGTTTTTCTGACCTAAATGTTACCATCGTTTCCATTTGAGTTTCCTTCTGAAGTAAACATTCTTTGTATGATAAATGACGCAATTTCGTTCTTATCACAGACTTGCTGACACCTTTTGCAGTACGCTTTTCACTTGATCCATAAGTGAGGCTGTACATTTTTGGTTTCAGTCCTATAAACTCAGTCATTGGTACTGACATTGTTTCATCTTTCATTTTACCTAAGACTTTTTTATTTGTAGCATCATACAGAAAGTGATCAGTTGGGTAGTCACTAAAATCGAAGTTGTCTTTGTCCTTTTCCAAGTCTTTGTACAAGTCATCCGTAAAAATATTGTAGCATAAGGAATCTGTGTCTGTAAAGAGGAGCTCAGCTTTATCTTCATACCTGGATTTGACATGGTTGTAATGGAAATCATACATCAGCACCTTTGATAGTTCTAAGATTGAAAATCCAACGTAAATGGGGCGATTCAAGACAAGATTTTGTTTTGTAAGTTCCACTGATGCTAGATCTTCGTTGAATATTTTGAATGATTTGAACCCTGGTTTTGCTGTCACTTTGAGAAGCCTTTGCTACCTGTGAATGAGCTGAATATCAACCCTCTTCCTCAAATTCTCCATGGTTTTTCCAAATACACTATTATTCATTAATTTGTAAAAGTCTTTCTCAAAGTCATTCTTGGCTGCTCTTCGCATATTTGTGTTGAAATCGATGTATTTTCTCAGCCATGGCGCTTGTTGAAAAGCAACCGCTTGGTGAATTTTGGTGACCCTCATGCCAAGAGACATATAAAGTTGCAGATTTCTGTAATGCACGACATAATCTCTCTTATCATTAAGATTCGGGACGAGTTTTCGAGTTGAGGTTTCCCCAAGATGTAGATCTTTTAGGAGTTGCAACTGATAAGGAGATAACATGTCTTGTTTGACTTCACACGATTCTGGTGCTAGTGGGTAATCGCTGTGCGTATCATGTAACTCTGTTGGGTATTCAAGGTCTACCGACAAAATATAACCTTCTTCCGACGTTAACTCTTTTAACTATAGTTTACTATAGTTAACTATATTGATAACTTTGACACTTTGAAAACTTTGATTTACTATAGTGATAACTTTGAAACTTTGAAAAACTTTGACGAAAACTTTGATACTTCAAAAAACTTTATCGAAAACTTTGATACTTTGAAATACTTTATCGAAAACTCAGATACTTCGATTACCTCTCTTGGAGCTTTAAAACTTTGCCAAAACTTTGACAATTTAAAAAACTTTATCAAAAACTTTGAAATTTATCCATTTGTGGGTAAAACTTAATCAAAAACTTGCTTTGAAAAAATTTATCGAAAAATTTAACACTTTGAAAAACTTTGTCGAAAACTTTAACACATTGCCAACCACTTTAAAAACTTTATCGCCAACTACAAATTATTTTAAAAATTTAATAAACTTTATCAAAAACTAGGTTTATCAAAAAGTGAGAAAAACTTTAGTTGTTTGGTTTGAAAACTTTGATGAAAAACTTTGACAAAAACTTTGACATCTTTATCGCCAACTTTAAAAATTTAATAAACATAAAAACTGGGTTGTTTGAAAAACTTTATCAAAAAGTTTGATCTTTGAAATTTATCCAAAACTTTGAAAAAACTTTGCGAAAACTCACTCTCAAAAACTTTGACAAAAACTTTGACACTTTCTTTGATGAAAACTACACTTTGAAAAACTTTGCAAAACTTTGACACTTTGAAAAACTTTGACAAAAACTCACTTTAAAAACTTTGATTTTGACACAAAAACTTTACAAAACTTTCATTTTGAAAAACTTTGGCCTTTGATACTTTGAAAAACTTTGGCAAAAACTTTGCACTTTGAAAAAAACTCCCTTTGACACTTTGAAAAACTTTGGCGAAGTTTGATAAAAAACTTTTGCAAAAACTTTGACAGAAAAAAACTTTGGTGAAAACTCTTTGAAAAACTTCAAAACTGCATTTTGAAAAACTTTGGCAAAACTTTGATTTCTGAAGTTTTTTGACAAAACACACTTTGATTTACTATAGTTAACTATAGTAAACTATAGTTAACTATAGTATTTTTTTGTTAGGGACGTTTCTTTTACGTGTTGTAAATCTAAAGAATCGATTTCAGATCATTTGTGGGTAAAGCTCATCCATACAAATTGTTTGCATCTAGGTAGATGATTTGTTTGGTTGACCATAAATGGGTTGTTTGCTTTTGCATACACATTAAAATGTTGAGATAAATAAGTGCATATCAGGATCTGTAAAAAGTTCCAAATTTACACCTGTCATTTTGAGAGGCGCCTGTCATGCCAATACCTGTCCAGTATAACAATGTGCAGGATCTAATTCATACATTTTAAGGCACAGATTTCTGAAGTTTTCAAACACATCGGCCAATAGTAGAACATCTGATTCCATGTACAGATCATGATACTCCCCTAAATTAGATATTCCAAATGTTTCCCACACATGTTGAGCATGGTGGTAATCAGCTTCTGATATATCTTCAGCGTTGATGGAACTGTAAAAAACAGATCTGTCTGGTAGACAAGTTTCGTTGAATTTCTCCGTACTGTCCATGTACTCGTAGGGATAAACACCCTTACGCATGAGTAACTTCAATTTTTCTTTGACTGATCCAGAATGCTTTTGCTCAATGTACTGTCGGAGGTGCTTAAATTTTTCTACACCTTCTTTAAAACATTTTTGTTGTGTAATCCTTTTAGTACATTACATGGCATAATAGATTTGGATATTTAAAACCTGTACATTAAGTCACCTGTAACCGTACATTAAGTTGACAAAACTCTCAATTCTTAACTTAATCGACAG